GTAAAATGCCCAAGCTTTTGACAATTATAACACTTCACATAACTTTTATCAAACGGTTTGTAGGCGCTTTGATTACCCTCTTTGGAGCTTCCTTCATCCTTCGAATTTTGTGGATCTTTTCTACCAAAATTCTTCTTACTCTTTGAAGACCACTTCCCTTTTGTTCTCTTGTTCTTCTCATGTAAACGCGCTTGCAAAGCGATCTTCGCTTTGGTTTTGTCAGCACTTCTCTCATCCATCCTTTGTTCATGCGCTTCTAACGAACTTTGCAACTCATATTTGCTCAAAGTTGTTAGATCCTTTGACTCTTCAATAGCCACAACAATGTTATCGAACCGTGATGTTAACGAACACAACACTTTTGATACAACATTCTGCTCAAGAATAGTTTCGCCACATGACTTGATTTGGTTGACTAACCGGGTAATGTGATCATTGATCATTTCTTTGTCCTTCATTTGCGTTAGCTCGAATTGACGTTTGTAAGTTTGTAACCTTACCACCTTCGCTTTGACGGCACTAACATATGCTTTCTTCAAGATTTCCCATGCTTGCTTCGCGGATTCACAGTCGCCAACCTTCTCGAAATTGTCATTATCAACACAAGAGTGAATCAAAAATAGGGCTTTGTAATTCTTCTTCTTTTCTTCCTTGTGTGTAGCCCTAATAGCTTCGGTAGCATCTGCCCCTAACGGTGTAACTTCATTGATGACGATCTCAAGAACCTCTTGATAACCAAACAGAACCTTCATTTGTTTCGCCCATTTGTCGTAGTTCTTCGAATCAAGAATTGGGAGATTGGTGGGAATTCAATCATTAGAAACGATAGCCATTGTTGCAGCGGATTAGGATCAACAACTAGAGCTCTTGATGTCAAATGTTAGAACAACATAAAACATAAAACCAGAATTTTGAAGGTAGTAACATTGGTGAAAAGAAACTTAGAAAGAAGATGAATTGAGAGAAAGAGAGAATAAGGAAGAGAGTAATATTGGATGAATCACTAAATTGGCATTAACCATGAATTGGGATTACAACAATGTATATATACACATGAGAGAATAACACAACTAATACAAAATACAACTAAAGTATCATGCTGTTAAATTCTGTTATTTTGAAAAACTAACAGCTTTTCAAAACAGCTCACAACACAATTTACAACTTTTTGAAAAAATTTGGAGATCAATTTAAAATTTTTGGAAAATGAGGACCAACATGCATAATTTAAAAGAATATTAATAATCAATTTGACATTCACATATTGCAGAATTTGAGAGAAATTTTAATTTTTTTTTTTCATTTTAGACATCATTTTAAAATCATTACATTTTATTTGGATAAAATATTTTATATATTTCTATCATTTTAATGCTTCTTTATATTTTTTTATCAAAAGAATGAATTTTATCCAAATTACTTTAAATTTTTTCAAAATATTACATTCCATGATTAATTGATTTTGAGGATATTTAGAAAGCAGTTAATATGAATGATAAATGTACTCTTGTAAACAAATTATATTTGTTGAACTTTAGCAAACAAGAGATAATAAGTTTGAGATTCATCTTGAACACGTTCATTTTGTTGTTGTTAGTCATAACTTGTCAATCATATCATAATTTTGTGAAATTTAAAAAAAAAAAGAAAAAAAAAGAAAACTGATAATGATATTATTAATTAATTGATTAATATACCTTATCTTAACTCTTCTTATTTCTACCGCTATTATGAAAATATCATTTTCGATAATAAAGATAATCAAGACTAAAATGTGTAATAAGATAAAGAATGTTTTTTTTTCTAATAATGTAATATTTTATATTGAAAAAAAGTAGTTCAATATTTCAACACTAATTCAATTATTGATGAATTTAAGTTTTTAAAAGAATAAAAGATGACACTTTAGTTCAAGATTAAATATCTCTTTTTATATATTTTACTTTTTTATTTTTTGTTAAAATTATTTTGAATTTATAATAAACATAAATTCAAATTTTAAATATTATATTTTAATTAAAATTTGTCAATCTTTCTAAGATTTTGGATAACATATTTCATGAATGTGAGTCGAGATAATAGGAGATTCTAATAAGTTAAAGGTTTTATTTTGATAAGCAAAACATTGAATTCAAGGGGAGCATTAGGTAGGGGTGCTCCAACCCAAAACTACAAACTACACAAATAAAAGAAAACAAAGCAATTCTTACAAAATAATCTAGAGGGCATTTATACCACTCATAAAGATTACAATGGTATGTCGCATTAGGCTGTAAAACCAACCACGACCACGAAAGAGCAATGATTTTATCCACTAAAACCTCTGGATTACCTATAGCAACATCGAAGATAATTTGATTTATCATCCTCCAGATACACCAACATGTCGCATACCAAATCATAAAAACAGAGGACTTAGAATCTTTCCCCTTCAACCTTGTCTCCCAATCCCTCAAGTGATCTCCAACATTAGCTGCCACCAAGAGAGGGACACCAATCTAAATTGCAATTTTCCTCCACACCATGATTGAACACGGACAATTTATAAATAGGTAATCAACATTTTCATCACACCTAAAGAAGTAGACACACATTTTATCGTGTACATTAGTAATCCCATTTCTAATAGGGAGATTAAAACGAGTCGGAAACATATCAAGGAACAACCTCCATCCGAAAATCTTGAATTTCAAACGGATGGTGGATTTCTAAAGAGAAGCCAACAAAGAAGAGAGAGTATTGTCCAAATACAACCCACCTGCAGCTTGTAATAATGTGTCATAATAAGAATTAATAGTGAATAATTTCTCAGGACTATAAAGCCAAATGAAATAGTCAGGGCCAGAACACGATGGAGACACTTCAGCCAGCAAAGTTGAAATATCAATGAGTTCACTCGCAACAACATTGTAGAGGATATCAGAGTTGAAACCTAGATCCCACACCGAAACCTACCCACCTAGCGGCCCATGTCATCCACCACAGCTATCTTCCTCTCTGAAGTCTCAAACAAACCTGGAAATAGCTCCTTTAGAGGTAAATTCCCTAACCACTTGGCCGTCCAAAATGGAATAAATTTACCGTCCCCAAGCCTGCAAGAAACAAACTCAGAAAAGCCAGCAACTTCGAATAAATCATTGTACTTCATTAGATCTTTCCACCATAACGATTCAAAAAAGAAGAGCCTTGGTGCCATTTTCGAAAATAACCTGCAAATGAAGTTAGCGTATTTAAATAGAAGGATATCACTCCAAATAACATACTTTTCCCTTAGAATTCTCCAAAACCATTTAGTGAGCAAAGCTTTGTTGAAAAGACCGACATCCTTGATGCCTAAACCGCCACAAGCCTTTGGAAGGCACACGGTTTTCCAACTTACCCAAGATACTCTAGATTTTTCCAACATGCATGACCAAAGGAATTTCCTTTGAATAGATTTAGTGATTTGTATCACCTTTTCAAGGGCCATGTAAAAAGTTAAATGGTGCACTGGAAGGTTAACCAATACATAATTAATAAGAGAAACCGTCCCCCAATTGATAACAATCTACCCTTCCATGACGACAAACAAGCTTTAAGGCACGAAATGATCGGATTCCAAAAAGCGATGCGTCTGTCATTTCCACCAACAGCCATGCCAAGGAAGATAAATGGTAGACAATCCTTCTTGCAAGTCAAGAAATGAGAAGCAACATTCATAAAAGATTCTTCCACTCCCACCCCATAAAGCCTACTTTTCTAGAAATTGATTTTAAGCCCCGAAACCATCTCAAACCCCCTTAAAATAGATTTCACACCCCAAAGGTTATGCCAAGAACCCTCACAGACTAAAATAGTGGCGTCGACAAACTATAATAAGTTGATGGAAGTTTGCTCATCCAAGCTAAAACCTTTAAATACACCTACTCCTACCGCCTTTTTGACCATAGAAGCAAGTCCTTCCACAACCAAGGCAAACAAGAGTGGAGATAAAGGATCACTCTGTCTTAAACCCATAGAAACCTTAAAATCCTGAGTAGTTCCACCGTTGACCAATGCAAACATTAAATTAGAGAACATACCACCTTTAAGACATTTAATCCATTTTTCTTTAAACCCCATCGCCAATAGAACCTTGATAAGAAACTTCCAATCTACACAATCGTAAGCCTTTGCAAAATCTATTTAAAAAAGAAGGAAACTCCTTTTATTTCTCTTTGCAAAGTCAACGACTTCATTTGCAACAACCACCCCGTCCAAAAGCTGTATACTAGGGATGAATGCATTATGAGATTTAGATACAAGCCTACCAATGATACTCTTCATTCTATCAGCCAACAATTTTGATATGACTTTTTAAATGCAACCAATAAGACAGATAGGGAGAAATTCCTCCAACTCTTATGGGTTCAATGACTTTGGTATCAAAGCAATGAAAGATGAAGACATAGTTTTAGGAAGATAAGTTGTGCCATGGAACTCATTTATGCAACTAATAACCTCATTGCCTACAACTTCCCAACAAGACATGAGGAAGTCTTGGTTAAACCTATATGGACCGGGGCTTTTATTGCCCTCACAGTAAAAAACAACCAAGCGAATTTCATCAGAAGGGTCTTAGCAAATTGTAACTCTTGAACCTGACAGCAAAATGGTCCTTGGCCGTCTGTTTGATGAAATTCACATCCACTAATAATGAAGAACCAACCCTCATAGCAGTAATAACATTAGCTCAATATCTTGTTTTCAACAATGAATGAAAATACTTAGTGTTACAATCCCTTTTCTTCACTCACTTGGCTCTATATTTTTGTTTGATCATGCTTTCTTTCAACATAAGGTTGTTCCATACTTCCACTTGAGCCTCCTTTCTACTAATAACATCTTCCTCCATAATAAAGCCATCAACACCCAACAACTCCTCCTATAAAGCATTAAGCCTCTCCACACCCACCTCCACCCTCAAATCAACCCAACTAAATACTTTTTTATTCCACCAACACAATCTAGGTCTAAGAGCCTTAAACTTTACAGATAGAATATGAGCAGCATTTCCCACCACTAATTGAATTCCATTCCTTCATCACGAATTCCAAAAACCCTAAATGTTCAAACCAACTCCTGAATGCTTTGAAAGGTTTCGATCCCCAGTTCAACACATTATCCTTAATCCATACAAGTCGATGGTCCAAAATGTCTATATCACCCATAACTTGAGCCATAATGTTCCAATTGGAAATCAGATCTTCTGATAATAAAATTTTAGCTAATCTGCTACAAAAACTACCATTAGCTTTAAGCCAGGTGAATTTGTTTCCTACGACAGGAAAGTCCATAAGTTCCATGACATCCATAAACGTATTGAACTCCTCCATTTCAACCTCCGAGTTTTTACCCATGTCCCTCCTTTCTTCAGACGACTTTATAGTATTAAAGTTGTAAGAGCAAGAATTGTCTCTACATGTTATCTCTATGTTTTGATGATAACAATTAAGTATTTGTGAAAGAACCATTTTATGTTCTAATGTTTGTTGTGTACAGATCGTTAAATAAAGATATCAAATCAACAAACAATACCAAGAAGTGCATTAAATTCAATATGGAGTTACTTTGTGTGATGTGACATAAAGCTCTTATTAAAGAAGCAAGTCTGCCTCTGTATCTGTTCACGATCAGAAAGTTCCAAGGATGTTGTATATTGCAGTTGCAATGCTCCTGTGGATTCTGCTCTGAGAAGTGCATCTAATTTGAAAGCAACCAAAGCATTGAAGAAGCAAGTATGGCTCTGTATCTGATCATAATCAGAAAGATCCAAAGATGTCGTATATTGCAGTTGCAATGCTCTTGTGGATTCTACTTCTGAGAAGTGTATCTGATTTAGAAGCTATCAACGCATCTGAGACTTAGTCCTCTGAAGAACCAAGCTCTGAAGACTCTGATGACTTGAAGTTCTAAAGGATGAAGGCTCTGAAGACCAAGTGCAGAAAGACTCTGAAGACTTAAGGGTTCTGAAGATCAAGACTCTGAAGATATAATCCTCTGAAGAATTACATGTTGAAGACTCTGATGACTTGAAGCTCTGAAGGCTGAAGGCTCTGAAGACCAAGTGCAGAAAGACTCTGAAGACTAGATTCTAAAGATAAAGATTATGTAGCTTCACCTAGACAAAGACGTGTTAATCAGATAAGTTGTTGCTATCAACTCTGATAAACAAGGGGCTGAAGTCAGACTCTGATGATATTACGCTATCATACCAAAGTAGTTTCTGAACTACTCATCTGATACATCATCAAAAGAACAAAAGCCAGAAGCTAATTTGTCCTAGCTGATAAATGAAGATCACATCATTTGTGGATAAAAGTTGTCTCCCACAATGATATATTAACGTTGCAAGAAAAGGAAAAGAAAGTGATGTCAGTACTATACAACACGTGAGTATTCTATCCATTGGGAAATGACCGTTGAAATATTTGAATGGACACCTCTACCCCTACAACATCTCTTTTGAATGCAATATAAAAGAAGAACATTTGATTCATTCAAATGTTAGCTCATTACAAAGCAAGCCAACTTGTTACAAAGCAATGATGCTGACGAGTGAAGTTAGCAACATAGTTGATTAACAAGAAAAGCTTTATGCTAAGAAGCCACACTGCTCACATAAGAAAGCTTTTAAGCAATATGGAAACTAGTGTTCTAATAATCTCGTTGAGGTTTATCCTTAGATTAGTTTCTGTATTAGGAAGCAAGGAGTTGTTGCTCAATACTTGCCATGTACCTTAATTAGGAGTAATCTGCTTGATAAGAAGCACTCATGTAATCTCCAGAAACACAAATTCAATTTTGAATTAGTGGTTCCTCAAGTGATCTTGTGAAGATTAGAATACTTGAGATGACAAGTGACAGTTGTCATTTGTGGAATTCTAATAAGAGATCTTTTTTGATCGGGTTCTATTAGATGTCAATGAATGTTATATCCTAAGGGATCCCTGAACACTTCATTGTCTATTTGTTAGTCACATGCAGTTAGCTTGTGCAATTGTAATCAGTTTAGTTATAGTGGATTAAGTCCTTGCTTAAGTGAGGCGAAATCACCTTGGAAAGGTGGACTGGATTAGCTTGAGAGTTGCTCAAGTGAACCAGGATATATCATGTGTTCTTTACTTGTGTTATGCTTTATTATATATGCTTTCGCAATGCATCTTAAAGAACTCTATAGAAAGCAACAAGTGAAGAAACCAAGAAAAAGTTTTAATAGAGCGAATACCCAATTCAACCCCCCCTATTTTCTTGTGTATTTCTCACACCTTCAGTTGGTATCAGAGCTCCGGTTATATTATTGATGGATATCAAACACCTAACAGTGTCAGAAAAAGATCCTAAAGCTGTGTGAAGAAATACTCTTGGTGGTTTTTCACTTCACTTACAATTTCAGTCTAATATCAGTTTTTGATGAAGATGAGTACTGAAATTGTAATCAAATGGGTTATCTTGAGCAAATCAGTGATTAGTTGAAGTTTGGAGTTTTGAAGTTTTCAACAACAAAATCTTCTCCATAAGAGCTTGGAAGAAGATTGAAGAATCAGCTGACAAGAGAGATTCATCAGATAAGAAGTTTTCTGTTGAATGCTTATCTTGTAATACGTTTGGATATGCAACGTATTCGCTCAAAAAGATCAAATCATCAGAAAGCAAGAAATCTTGTTTGCTGAAGATTATTTCTATGTGAGTATGAGATGTTTTCAAGAAACAGATTAGTCCACTCTTGACTTTCTCATGAAAAGCTCATTGGAAATTATCTTTAGTAAGTAAAGAAATATTGATGGCTAATGAATTTGACTCATAGGAACTTCAGAGTAAAGTCTGCAGAAAAGGGCTGGAACAGAGATAGTTCAAACTTTGAAGTAATGATCCTCCTGATTCAAGGCATCAGAATGTTGTTGTCCTTGAGAAGCTTCAAAGAAATCTATAGATGTTTCATGTAAAGAAGTTCACTAACTCATCATGGATATGATGTAAGATGAACTCTGAAATTTTATTAGAAGTAACATGGACAATTAAGTTATGTTAACTTGTGATTTTATCTCAGTTGAACAAACTGTAATTGGTCAGATGTTATCAAACATTCTTTCTTAGAAGTTCATAATGATTGGATCCTGAAGTCAAGCTGTTCAGAAAGATACAATGACAGAAGTCATTCAATTTGCTTTTAAAAGGGATTTAAGTCTCTGGTGTTATTCAGAATGAATAAGTTAGTAGACATCCTTTTTCAAAAGCAGATGCTCTTGATGAACTAACTCCTCTAGTTAGTTCAGCATTGCAAGAACAGAATTGTCATTTAGACTGTGTCATTTGATGCGTCCGAGTTTGATGATAATTGTTTCTAGACTGGATCTACATTTGTTTCAATCAAACAAAATCAGAAGATGAAGCCTGATGGAAGTTAGATGCTCTAAATCATGAAGATCAGAATATATGTGCTCTGAAGATGTCTCTTAGAAATCAGATGGATGATGTGTTGATGAAGATATTGCAGAACGCAACCAAAGGATATGAGATCAGCTCATAAGAGAAATTCAGAAGATCCTACTTCAGATGCTATTACTGGCTCCTCTCACAAGAACAAGATCCTTCCTCATATCTTCAAGGCTAGTCAGCAAGAAGGTTTTGGCTACACAGAGACATATGCTTTTGTGGCAAGTTTAGAATCCATACTCTTGTTAATTTCCCTTGTTACTCAGAATAACATCTATCTTAATCAGATGAATATTAAAAATACTTTTTAAATGGTTTAATTGAAGAAGAAGTATGTGTTCATCAACCTCCTGGTTTTTGAAAATGAAAGATTTCCAGAACACGTTCTATTATTAAAGAAATCATTCTATAGCCTAAAACAAGCTCTCAGAGCTTGGTGTGAAAGGCTGAGTAATTTTCTTCTGGAAAATAATTTTATCAGAGGCAAGATTGATAACACACTTTTTCATAAATCAATCAAGAAAGATATTTTAATATGTCATATTTATGTAGATGATATTTTTTTTGGAACAACAAATATTACACTTGGAAAGGAGTTTTCTAATTGTATGCAGGCAGAAGCTGAAATAAGCATGATGGGAAAGCTAAGATACTTTCTGGACATTCAAGTCAGTCAGACTCCAGAAGGCATCTACATACATCAGATGAAGTATGTGAAGGAGCTTCTGAAGAAGTTTAATCTGACTGAAAGAAAGCCAGCTAAAGACTCCCATGCATCCATCTAGCACTCAAAAGAGAAGACTCTAAAAGAGCTAAGTTACAGAAGCTACAGAAGACTCTGAGTGAAGAGTATAAAGAAATGTTTCAGAAGACTCTGAGCACACTTATCTCAAAGGATGCAACTGTAGAGGCTCTGAGAATCAGATTATACATGGCTCTGAAACATCAGCACCAAAGCTTACTCTGGAACTTCTTTAAAAGATCTGAAGATTACTCTGATAAGGGGAGAAATAAAACTTCATCAAAAGATCTGAAGCTTACTCTAATAAGAAGAAGACGAAAACTCATCAGAGGATATAATACAAGGAAACATTTCCATATTTGTTCACTCAATAGATGTTGATCAAGATATGTAGAATTGCAACTTCACAGTTAGAAGAATCTATTATGGAAATCCATGAAATCTAGTATCTGAACAATATCAGTATAAAACCCTCTGAAGAAACACTTCTGGGCTTGATGTCATTGATTGAGCTATCATCTGTTGATGAAGATCTTCTGGGAAAGACTGAATGTCGATGACAAGAAGGACTAACAAACATAACTCTAATAGTTATGGTTCGAAAGTCTGATTTAGAGAATCTCTCCAGAAGATAAAGCAGAAGCTCTGATAGTTTCTGAAGAAATATCAGAAAGGAAATTTGTTCAGTAAAGCTGTTGATACATGAATGTATTTGTTGATGTTCACCTTCTTCTGAACTCCTGGGATTGAGTAGAAGTATGAACTTGAGATTGAATTTGATAATAAGCTTGGAATCAGAAACCAAAGGTGGGTTAGCAGTAGAAGTCACCATCAGATGATCTGATGCTGGTTGATAAAGAGCAAGATTGTCATCATCCAAATAGATGCTAGAAATACATCTTGGTTTGATGATAGTTTGTGATGATCAACTACGTCTATTCAAAGGATAAGTTCTTATGATGCAAGAAGTCAGCAAGTTTCCTCAGCTCATAACCTTTTGTGAAGCTTACGCTTATTCTGAGAAACTAGCATTCATCAGAAAATAAGTTGTCTGGAAGAAGATAAAGAGGCGTGATCATTGGTATAAGAAGATGGATGATCAGAAGATGAAGACCAAAGGAAGAATCT